TACGGAGGCCGGTTCGAGTTGAAGGAGCCCGGGTGAATCTTATTCACTTCAGAATCAACTGCCCAATAACAAAGATGAAAGAGTCTTTAAATACGAGTTTGTTCACCAAGCTACTAAATATTAAGAATAATAAATGCTAATAATAATAAAAGGGTTTTTTGGATTTCTGCCATCGCAATTTTCCAACTTTTAAAAACTGCCATTACAATTCGTCTTATCCGAAGTTTTCCATTACAAATTTATGTGTACCCGGTTCTTGCCACTATATACGTATACTACCAGCTTTGGTACGTATACCACCAGCTGGACCCATTGTCAGAACGATGGATGCATAGGCAAATGTCCTTAGTGGACATCGATGCCCCCCGTCTCTCTGTGATCATGAAATTATGTTAAAATTCTTTCAAAATTCAATTGAAATTCTGTCCAAATTCAAGTAAAATTCTGTCAAAAATTTTTCCCACGACGGGAAGGCACGGCGACGGCCCGACGCGGACTGACGGTCACAGGAAAGAGATCGAACGTCGCCGTGTTCATTATGTGTTCCGGCGGGTCTACCCCGAGGTCGAGGGTCGCCGTGGTGGGGCCGAATGTCGCCGTGTTCGTGGGCTAAGAACTCATGAAATTGGTTTTTTTTTATACTTTTTTTACCAAATTGCTTCTAGAATTTTCAATGTGAACAATAAAAAGTACATGAAGTGAGGGTATTCCTGACTTTTCCCACCCTTTTCTCACTCTAGTTCCCACTACCTGTAGAAGCTGCAGAAAAAAAAAAAAAAATCTTCTTCCACAATAAATCCACCATGCTGCTCTGCCTTATCCTCCTGTTGGGGTATTACGGTCCAATACGCAAATACGTAAGGTCCTAGACTGGAAGACGTAGATTAAGGCAAACATGTGGGGTTTATAGAATTGTAATGGCAAATTTCGGATAAGACGAATTGTAATGGCAGTTTTCAAAAGTTGGAAAATTGCGATGGCAGAAATCCAAAAAAACCATAATAAAAATAATAATACTAGTCTACATCATTCTCCCCCGGTTCAGAAGGCTTCACCCTCGAAGACGACCCGATCCCGTGGCCGGCGTGTCGAGTCCAACTCATGGTAGTAATCCCCCGTCATTTTTCACTGTCGAATACGGAGGTTGAATGTTGTCCAATTATGTCAGCATGCCCAAGAATTCGACGGACCACCTCACGCAGTAGTACATCAGTGGACCCTCGCGACGGAAATGGGAAAATAATTTCTTCAATTAAAAGAATATCACCCTTTAGTTGGTCCTTCTTCGCCCGCTTAGGACCCGTCAGACCCATGTGTGTAGTTGTTGTGGCCAAGTCACAATATTCAAAAGGATGTGTTGCTTCCTGATCAGCAATAAGGCCACTGATATGAGCCATGACACAGAGCAACATAGCTCCACACTTGTCCGCAATATGCCTTAATTTCTTGTAATCCTCAGATAAGAACTTCCTCAACAAATGATGGCCTGAAATCCATGACCTTCTCCTCCAGAATATCGTAGATGATATACCCCGTCTTCGAATCCACCTCGTATGACCATGATCCATCTCTGGGCTTCTTCTCTAACGATTTGATCCATTCCGTTCTCAATTTTCGTAATTTCCACATCAGTCTGAGGCTCCATGAGGAATTCCTCTGGCCCCGGAGGCTCCTCATCGAAAATCGGCAGACCATCGTAGAGCTTGCCTGTGTCGGGGTCGAAACCCATGT